CTAGTGCAAAGTTGTTCAATCTTGTTAACGATAGCCTGAGGCAGAATTAACTGCCTGCACCAGAAGTTTGCAATACTGAAGAGAACAACTCTGATAAGTTCTAATCTGCCGACGTAGCTCAAGTGCTTTCCCGACCAGTGATGTAGCTTTGATTTGATCTTTTCAATAAGAACTACACAGTCCTTTTCAGTGAGTTTCCTTGTGGCTAAAGGAACCCCTAAGTATCTCACTGGAAAACAGCCATGTTTGAATCCCGTGGATTGTAAAATATGCTCAAGATTTCTGAAAGTGACTCCAGCAGTATAAAGTTCACATTTAGCAGTATTAAGTTTGAGACCAGACATTTCGTAGAATTGGTCAAGGACACTAATGACTCCAGAAACAGATTCAATATTTCCTTTACAAAAGAAATGTTAGTGAGGCCAATCTTCTTACATTTTGGATGGTATCCGAGCAAGCCTTTACTAGCAGCCATGTTTAGGATTCTAGATAGCACATTCATTGCAAGAACGAATAAGATAGGAGAAAGAGGGTCACCTTGTCTTATTCCCCTTGCACCCTTGAAAAAGCCAATCAAGCTTCCATTGAAAGAGATGAAGTATCTTGCTTCTTTAAAGTAGGTTTCAATCCAACCAATGAAAGTATTAGGAAGTTGTAAAGCCTTAAGCATAGGAGAAATGAAACCCCAGTGTAGAGTGTCAAAAGACTTCTGTAAGTCAACTTTTAAGGCACATCTAGGAGATATAACTTTCCTTCCATAACCTCTCACCAGTTCTTGAGCAATGAGGGTGTTGTCAACAATATTTCTTCCTTCTACAAAAGCCGATTGGTTGAGAGATATTATCCCTAGAAGTAAGGTAGGCAACCTTTTGACTAAGATCTTTGTAATTGTCTTGTAAATAATAGAGCAACAGGAAATTGGCCGAAAATCTCTAACCTTATTGGGATTAGGAACTTTTGGAATCAAAGCAATGGTTGTAGCATTGAATGATGGAAGGATTAAAGTCTCTTGAAAGAAGTATTTAATAGCATTTAAAACGTCTTTTCCAACCACTGACCATGATTTTTTGAAAAAGTATGGCGTGAATCCATCAGGACCAAGTGCTTTGTCATTTCCTTAGTTGAAAATTGCTTCTTGAATATCTTCATTGGTTACTTCCTTTACAAGGTTAGAAGAAACATCTAAAGGCAAATTAAATTGCATCAGATCCTTCAAAAGATTAGGCGTACAATTTTTAACCCCGGAGTCCGCTGTACCTAAAAGGCTGGAGTAAAATTCAATCACTTCGGAAGCTATTTCATCAAAATATTCAAGCCTTTTACCTTGGTCATTAACAAGAATTCGTATGGTGTCTCTTTTGTTTTTACCTGAAATAATATAATGGAAGTATTTTGTGCATTTGTCGCCTTCTTTTAACCATTTCACTTTGGCCTTTTGTTTTAAGTACATGCCCTCTGCTTCTTCAAGAGATAAAAGCTCATTATGTAACATCAACTCTTTTTCGATAGTGTCCTCTCCTCGTAGAGTAGATAGTTGAAGTTGTTCAAGTTCGCTTTTCTTTTGACGTACTCGAGCAGAAATATCACTGTAACATTCTTAGTTTATGGTTTTGAGGCATGGTTTTAGACGTTTAAGCTTGAGGAAAAGAACCTTCATCGGATTTCCTTGAATAGATGGTTGTCATGACTGTCGAACTTATTTAAGAAATTAGGATGAAGAGTCCAGAAGTTGAAAAATTTGAATGGTTTAGGTCGATTAGCTTGAGCCTCCCTGTTGATCTAAACCAGAGCCATACAGTGATCAAATGCGTCAGGTGCAAGAAATTCCACAAATGAGTTATGGAAAGTATTTACCCATGTGGGATTGATAAGCACCATATCAAGCTTCTTTGCAAGAAAATATTGTTGTTGCTCCATGTGAAGAAAGGATGGTCTTGAAGATGAAGATCATGAGTGACATCTTGGAAGTCCTTCATGTCTGGAGTTAATATTGGACCCGTAAGCTAGTAATCTGAACTTTCCTTCGAATACAAGATAACGTTGTAGTCTCCTCATAATATCCAAGGTAATAATCCGAAATATGTTTCCAAGTCGCGTAGATGTTGCCAGAGTTGTCTTCTAGTTACACCATCATTACTGGCATAGATAGATGTAATAATGAGGATAACACCCTTAAAAGTGCATCTGATAATAATTGACTGAGTTGTAGCTTGACAAAAGGAGATGTTTAAACTTTGTTTCCAAAGGATCCAGATCCTCCCATTTGAAGCAAATTCATAATTTGAACAGGTATACCATTCCGTAAATTTGGAATTGAATATTTCCGATGAATTCTCCAATTTGACACGGGTCTCGAGTAAATAGAGGATGTCAACTTTATTTTGAATAAGCCTTTACAGGAATTTTCCTTGTTTTAGAGGATTGTTTAATCATCTAATATTCCATAAGCTAATAATCATAGAGAAGGGCTCATTGCACCCCCATAACCACAACATGTTGGACTTTTTGCGTTGTCTGGGTGAATTTTCTCTTTGGATTTGAGGTCAATAACCAAACCTGTTACACCTAGAGATGCCGACCAAATTTTCCCATCTTGATTTTCTATTATTGGAGGATTTTCGTCTATTATATTAAGGACATCAAATCTGCTTTTGACTTAGCTGATCTTCCTCTGCCCCGTTTTTTAATTGAATAGTTGGCAGCAATTAATTCTACGGTTGGTACAGCTGGTTCGGTAATGGATAGCTCTTTTTTAATAATTGAATCGGTGAGTGCGGTTGATCCTGAGGTATTTGATGTTGGTATTGTTGAATGGAAACTTTTCTTGGTTGGGCAATTTCTTGGAGCTGCCCCGAATTTTTATTCAATGCAAAGAATTGTCGATAATCTTTGGAAAAAGACACTGCAAGGAGCTCATGTCAAGGTCAGTCTAGTTGGAAGCAACCTCTACATTTTTTTCTTTCAATTCCGACTCGGCTAGAGATTGGGTTCTAGAAAACGGTCCCTGACACATTCTAAACAAACCTTTGATCCTCAGAAAATGGGAACCAAACCTAAAAAGGCTCGATTTTGATTTATCGAGAATCCCAATCTGGGTCTATTTTTATAATATACCTCTAGAAATTTTCTCAAGAGCAGGATTAAGTTATATTGCCAGTGTTATAGGAATCCCATTATCCATGGATTCAATTACTGCCTCCAAATCAAGACTCGAATTTGCAAAAATTTGCGTTGAAATTGGGGTGAATAAGGAAATCCCCAAGGTTGTGGATGTTATCCTTATAAATGGGAAAACAACATCAATTACTGTTGAAATTCCATGGTTACCACCCTGCTATAGAAAATGCAAAATCTTCGGACGTAACGAGAAAGGATGCTATGAACAATCTCTTACTACCTCAAGTTTGGAGAAAAAAATGAGAACATAATACTACCTTACAAGCCGAAACTGCTAGTGGGATAGAATTACTGCATGAACCGGGGTTAGACGATGCCAAAGTCGAGGACGTGAAGCAAAAGGAAATTGAAAAACAACTTGATCGAATGGAAACAATTTCCGATCCTAAAAGCACTGTTGCAAATATTATTCATTTAGATGTTTCTTCATCAAAGCAATGCGCCAAATTAGCTGACCAAACGACCGCACTCACCGATCCAATAATTGAAAAAGTCATACCCACTACCGAACCAGCTGTTTCATCAATGTAAGGAGCCAAAGTAGCTGACCAATCAACCTCACTCACCGATTCAATTATTGAAAAAGAGCTACCCACTACCGAACCAGCTGTACCAACCGTGGAATTAATTGTTGCCAACCATTTAATTCAAAAACAAAGCAGAGGAAGGTCAGCTAAGTCAAAACAGCTTTCACTGGATCCAAAAACAGATTTGATGTCCTTAATATAATAGACGAAAATCCTCTAATAATAGAAAATCAAGATGGGAAAATTCGGTTGGCATCTCTAAGTGTAGCAGGTTTGGTTAATGACCTCAAATCCAAAAAGAAAATTCACCTAGACAACGCAAAAAGTCCAACATGTTATGGTTATGGGGTGCAATGGGCCTCCTCTATGATTATTAGCTTCTGGAATATTAGATGATTAAACAATCCTCTAAAACAAGGAAAAGTCCTACAAAAGCCTATTCAAAATAAAGTTGACATCTTCTGTTTACTCGAGACCCGTGTCAAATTGGAGAATTCAACGGAAATACTCAATTCCAAATTTACGGAATGGTATACCTGTTCAAATTATGAATTTGTTTCAAATGGGAGGATCTAGATCCTTTGGAAAAAAGGTTTAGACATCTCCCTTTGTCAAGCTGCAGATCAGTCAATTACTATCAGATGCACTTTTAAGAGTGTTCCCCTCATTATTACAGCTATCTATGTCAGTAATGATGGTGTAACTAGAAGACAACTCTGGCAACATCTACGCGACTTGAAAACATATTTTGGATCATTACCTTGGATATTAGAAGGAGACTACAACGTTATCTTGCATTCGAAGGAAAGTTCAGATTACGAGCTTAAGGGTCCAATATTAACTCCAGACATTAAGGACTTCCAAGATGTCACTCATGATCTTCATCTTCAAGATCATCCTTTCTTCGGTCCTTTTCACAAAAACAAAATTAAATACCAAATCTGAATAAGCATTTTTTCATCCTCTAATCAAATATCTAGAGATTTTTCACAACAAAATTACACCTCACACAAAAAAATATCAGTAATGGAAAGTTGGAATTTCATTCTAACATGCTCAGTCAAATTCGCGTATTACTCGAACTTAGGTGTGAAAGTCGGAAAAAGGTATATAGTTGACACAAGTATGTTCAAATTTTTGGTATATAGTTGACACAAGTATGTACAAATTTTTTCTTACTCCCCCACCCCTAATATCTCTATACCCATGTCCTGATATAGTTGACACAAGTATGTACAATCGGAGTAACATAGCAAATTCGATTCACAAAACAAGACTGTAGGACATACAATTTTACACCAAGAAGGAAAATCTACAAATGGTATGCCTTATAGCCAGGGATCAAAATCATTATGAGAACAAGACATTTTAAAAAGTACTACTAAGATAAAGTTTAGAAGCTTTGATTGCGTTTGCCATAATTCATGATCAAAATAGGTTGCATGTCGGCAAATTCCATCACAGCAGAAAAAGACATACCTGACCATAGACTTCAGAGCATGATAGTTACAACACACACAATCAACAGTTAACCAATACATTTAAAATCTAAGCTCCTTTGAACCATAAAAATAGGGACAACCAAAATTACCTGCCAGATAAAACCCTATCCATGTCTTGTAGCTCTGCTTCAAGGAACCTACAGCCCCACATATACTTTTCATTTTGATACGAATCCTTATTACCTGCATAATCACGCATAGTCAAAGTTGTATTCTTATTTCAGCATATATTCTCCATTCAAATTTTGCACAAAATAAAATGATTGTCTCCTTACTTACCAGTGCGCAAGAGAAACGATGATAATCCCATTTTATCACCTCTATTATCATCACGGAAGTGTAGTCCAACCAAAAGACTCTAATCCATAATTCTCTCAGCCTCCAAGAACTCACAATCTTGATCGATTTGCCTGTGCAACCATTTATTACACAAAAATATTGATAAATAGGCGAAGGATGAGGAGGAAAGCAATGGGCTGCAAAAAAAAAGGGGGGGTTAAAAATGTAAAATATTGTACTTCATGAGTTCCTCAAACCAATTTCTTTGGAGGTGAAACATGAAATTGAGATCCAGGTCTTTAAGGGTTGTTGTTTCATCGATTTCCTCTTTGGCTTATCGGTTGAGCGGCCATGGGAGGATCCTTTAAGGTCAAACCGTCTATGGATTCGATACTCAGAACAGAACAAATTACCCATCACAATGAACCGGGTCTGGAATTTAACAATGATAATCATAATCTTTTAGCAAGTGGGATAGATGGTTAAATGAACAACGAAACCTTCTTTTCTATTTAAGTCAAACACATACCTTCTGACGACCAACTGGTTTGACACAGTGCACGCCATAAAATTTTGTTACGAGGGAGTTTTCATACCGACAAACATGTTGGTAATAACTCGGAAGCATCCTTATAAGAACCTGACATCATTAATAGAACTATAGATTCAGTCCAAACATCCTGATGCTATATATGTTTAATTTAACTAAGAGTAATGTCAAAGAAAGAGAAACGAGCAATATTTCCAACTCTTAACTGTCAAACGAGAAATTTATGCATCAAAACACGTAACAATTTAAAGTTAAATGAGTTGGCAACTAACTTTGACTTCACTTTACTGTTTTTATCAAGAATCTGTCATCTTGAGTAAGGTAAAAGAAGCTTCCACTCTTCCCCGGAGAAGAAAGCTCTCTAAGGGCATCATTGCCGCAAATAGCTAGCATGTAATCAGCAGGATCAACTTGGAATAGCTCCCTCAAATGTCTGAGACACACAAACGGGAAACCAAAAACAAGTGAAATATGACCAATAGCAAAAGGTTTACTGATAATAGAATTAAAGGAAACTGTTATGCAATCAAGCAAGCTCATTGCTAAGAATATATATTAAAAAGCACAAGGATCATACCGAAACACAACCGGACAATAATCCTTCCACCGGAACTTGGCGGATTGATGAGGCAGAGTAAGCTTCGATCCTTCACTCGGAAACCTCATCGAAAACTTCTCTTTTGGATCAAAATCTGTCTGCTTCAAATCCCGCAACATCATCGATGCATGTTTCCCAACAGAATACCTACAACAAAATATTCAACAAAAGTAAATTGAACCCTCAAATCCAAATATCAAACACAAAGACACACCCACACCAGAAAGGAAATCAAACAATATTGCACCTGATACCCAATTGCAAATTAAGCATTAAATCATAATTCTTATGGCCTTTAGAAATCAGTTGGCCTGGTTTCTTGATTTCCCCACTAAAACAACAAGGATTTCTTCTAAACTCCCTAAACCCATTTCTGTAAATCATCGAGGCTTCAGCATTATCGATTATATCGCAAGTAATGTCTCCTTCTTCACCATCACTTTCCCATATGCAAATCCTCGGGAAATTAATGATTCTTTCCCCTATGCAAATCCTCGGGAAATTAATGATTCTTACCCCTAAGCTTCCCCTTCCATCACAATGCTCTTTCCAGTCGTTCCCATTACGTAATGTTCCGTTTAACTGTTGAACTTTCTTCATGTTATCTTCGTTCCAAGGTATGATATAACGGCTTCCGTCTGGCCAGGAGAAAACTCCTCCCCCTTTGGGGACTCCGTTTTCCCATTTCCCTTCAAACCGGTTTTTGTTCGACCAAATCAATGTTCCACGACTGGAGATTACGCCGTTTTTCCATTCCCCGATGTACTCGTTCCCGTTACTCCAAACATTACGCCCGTATCCGTCTTGTAGGTCTTTCTTCCACGAACCTTCATAGTAATCCCCATTGGCGTAACCTTTAAGACCGTACCCATGTGTCCGATTGGAGATCCAAGACCCACAATACGAGTCATCGTCGGATCCGATAAACGTCCCGTTTCCTTCCATCCGACCCGACTTGAAATCCCCTTCATAAGTGGCTCCCGACGGCCACGAGAACTTCCCTTTCCCGGAAGCTTTCCCTCGCCGCCACTCGCCTTCATACATGCACCCATCTTTCCAAAGGTACTTTCCCGATCCATGAGGCGCGTTACCGGAGAAGCCACCTGTGTAAATATCTCCGTTGGGGAGAACCTTCCCAATAGCAGCATCCGCACCCGCGGATGTAGCAGTTTTGAGAGTCACGAGCCGGATCCGGTGGTTGTAAGACATAGGGGGAGTAACAGCAACCACGAGGCGATCTCTCTCGTCGTCCGATTTTTTCTTCTTGGTGTTGCAAACGACGTCGCTCTGATAATTTAACAGTGTCTGAATCTCTCTTCCCTTCCAACTCTTTGTCTTACCTTTTTCTACCATGCGAATCTCTTGGTTTCTTTCTTCGACTTACTGCATTTTTTAAACTGAATGAAAACATAAAAGAACCCGAAAAGACGCCGACTGAGAGAAGAACATTTTCCGTCGACAAATTTCTTCTTTTTTGTTGGTGGTTTTGTGAAAACGTTCTTTGGCTTTGGAGATGGAATCCTGCAAAACAGAGACGCGAACATGAACGCAAAGGAGATCGCAAAAAATAAGGATAAACTCACTTGTTAGTCACTAAACCACTGCCGGTTATCTATTTTAATCACTAATATTATACTTTTTACTTATTTTAATGAGGATCTAAAATTTTAATGAATATTTTTTATAAAAAGTTGAGTGTGCAATTTTTCTTTCTTTTTTTCTTTCTCTTAACACATTAAATTAATTATTATAAATTTTTGAAGGATAAAATATAACATTCCTCACTAAATTTTATTTTTTTCTCTAATTTTGTTCACTATATTTTTATTTTTTTCTAATTTACTCACTGAACTTTTTAATTACTTTAATTTTGATCATTTTAAATTATTTTATTATTATTTTCATATGATGTGCTATTTTTATTACTCTTTAATATAAAAATAATTTTATTATTATTTCGAAGGTCGACGGTGGTCGACAATAGGTGGTGACTGTTTTAAGTCTTTTTAAATTTAATAATAATAAAATATTATTTTATTATTTATTTTAAATTATTTTTATATTAAATAATAATAATAAATGTCATTCATATAAAAATAATAATAAAATAATTTAAAGTTATCAAAACAGATCAATTTAAAAGTTCAGTGAGTAAATTAGAAAAATATAAAATATAATAAATAAAATTCAATGAAAAATATTGTAATTTACCTTTTTCCAAAATAATAATGCATTTTTTCTCTTAGGGACCTAATACATCCACCCTATTCAACATAAATGATAATATAATATGATTTCGTAAAAAATTAATCTCAAATTTTACATACTCTATCAATTAGACCTAAATCAAAATAATATCAAATATTTATACTGAATTTTAAATTTTACATTCTCTCTCACACTCCTTTTCTCTTCTTTGGTTTCTTCTCCTTACTTATTCTTAATCCTCACACAATTAAAATCAATTATTTTTTTCTTGATTTGTAAACGAGTCTAGTCGAATTTGATTCGATTTCAAAAGTATAAAATTGAGTTTGAGTAGACTCATGAACTTAAAATTATTAAGTTCAACTCGAATTTAAAATCAAAATTTGAAGTTCAACTTGCACGAAAAAACTTGAATTTGATTTTTCAAACTTATGTCGTACTTGAGCTTGATTTCAAGCTGGAATCTAAACTTTAAGTACATGAAAATATTATATTATATTTTTTAAATAACCTATAAATGCTAATAATTTAATTTGAAAAAAAAATTAAAAATGTAATATATTATTTTTTTCGAGTCAGTCACGAGTTTTTTTAGTTATTCATGAACTTTTAAATCAAATATCAAATAGCTCATTTCGATTCATGAAGAAATTGATTCAAGTTTAGTTCGAATCGAGTTCATTCAATTCAAATATTAATTGAACTTTGACCACATCAAACTTGAATAACTCATAATCTATCTCATCTCATTTATAACCCTACCCGTAAACAAATCATCATAATATATTTGATAATTCAAAACACTAAGTAAAATAAACTACATAATTTAATTTAAAATTTCAAACACTTATTGTTTTGAAAATAAACCTTTGTGTCGGGATTTTCGAGGCTCTATCAATCACCTGAATAAGTTGTCAAGAAGGGGTGAATTTGTAATACTCCCAACCCGTATTCGACCCGGATACGAATCCGATGTGTCACATTGACTTTTCAAAATCATTTTCTTTCATAAGTTACTTGAAAACACAATTTTATATTAAAATAAATATGAATAATTTACATAATTACAATAAAAAGGTTTACAAAAATTGATCAGAGCATATACCATTTCAACTTATAATTACAAGCCATCAATATTTCCTATAACAAAAGAACCTACTATTTATATTGCTCCTGATCTGATTATGGTAAAGATATGCAGTCCCAACTTCTTATCCTTGCTCCTCGGGCTTCTTTAATCCTACGTGTGAAACACTCACACGTTAAGTCACAGACTTAGTGAGGCATATAAAATGTATAATGCAAACTTTAAACACTTAATAGCACATGAACATTTTATACAATAATATCATAAAAACCATATAACATTTCATATAACAAGATGCTTACATGCACATATACCATCATTATCATCATCAATATTATTATCGTCATCCATATTATTATCATTAATCCCTTTAATGATATAATCTTGTGCTTAACATTTGTAAACATCATATAATACATTTCACAAAGCAAAACACATAACATCACATACAGTTTATTTATGTTCTCTCTTTTAATAACTCATGGTACACTTCTGAGAACTTAATATATGTGAGTGCATGGAGGTTGTGCACAAATGTTGTCATCATAGCTCATATAAATTATACCAAAGTGCCACATAAAATGTCCCGAAGAACCACATAAAATGTCCCGAAGAACCACATAGATGTCCCGAAGGACCGCGTATAATTGTCCTGAAGGACCGCGTAGAATTGTCCCGAATGACCATATAAAATTATCCCAAATGACCGCGTAGAACCCTCGACTCTTGGCATGCCAATTATACCCTGAGCTCTTATAACACATACTTATGGGCTTTACGGTTTACACATTTTACATTTTCAATTATTCACATAGTTATGTATCACATAGATTACATCACATGTTCACCTAGTCACATAGATCATCACATAGACATGTACTCACATAGCTCATAGTCACATAGCTTATATCATTTCTCATATAATCTCATAAGTCAGTGTTATTGCTTATCTCACTTTTTCATTTACCCACATGGGTCAATTATATCAATTCACATATATGACCATGCAGACATGTTTTCACATAGATATAATTCATATAACTTATACCTTGTTATCATATGTTCTCATATAGCATTATCACATAAGATAACATGTAACACATAGTTCATGAATAACAATGCATATAACACATAAATATGTATCCATATACACATAGAAACCATATAAACAATATGCTTATATTCCTAGAATCATGCAATCAAAACATTGGAAGTAGACTCATCGCAAGTCTCTTTTCCATAAACACCATATACATATTAATATGCACTCACCTTAGCCTCACTTAGTCAAAGTTAAACACTTAGCACCTTAGATCGGACTTACAACTTTGAATCATCTGGATCTTGCTTTCGATCAATCTCTACACAAATATACGATCTAAATAAATATCAAATAATACTATAAATCAATCACCAATAACTTGAGTTAAACGAAACACTTAATTCACTTTTTCACCTTGAATAATATCAGTACCCAAGATACAATACCAATATTTCTACACTATGGTATCGATACTATACTTCAATAGCGATACCCACTTTCAATTTTGGAATTGCATCTTCATAATGGTACTGATACTTGCTCACTGGTATCGATACCCCTTGGTATCGATACTACTCTTTTTATATCGATACTAATTAAAGGATTTCATACAATTTACCTTATGCTATCGATACTGCTCATCCATTATCGATACTCAGACCCCCCGATGTCACCTATTGTTTACTTTGAAGTATCGATATTGTTCATCCAATACTGATACACCTTGCCCAGAACTTACTTATTTAACCCGAAAATCAACCAAACTCAGCTAAATTTCTCATTTAACTCTTCTTTAAAGCATTTAAACTCAACTACACTTATTCAAATCAACTTATCTTACTTTAACTCCTCTTAACATCCAATATCTAACAAGAACACTGAAACCCAAAAATCATACCAAATATTCAACATATCTTAAATCCATATTTAATACTTCAGAGTCCTTATTTCAGCTTATGACAAGTCAAATATGACTTCAAAATTCATTTACAAACTCCCTCTCAATAATTCACTTAAAACCCCTTATATTCAATCTCCCCTAATTTATCCATCTTTTAGTTTTACATAACATTAAGCTTTCCTTAATTTTATGTATCACTCAGAGACCAAAACCCAAACTTAAAATTCCTAATATAACCAATTACAAGAATTCTTACCTTTAACCAAGCACTCATGGTGGAAGAAAAACAAGAAAAGAATAGACTTCCAGATTTTCCTTTCATTCTCCCCTACTACACGTGGATATATATAACATCACTGTAAGTTTTTAATTAATTTCCTTACCAAATGACCATTATACCCTTTTCACTTTCACACTTTACTATTAAATCCAACACCAAGATACTCTAATTAACTCTTGAACTTTCCATATTTTCTAAAATTAAATCACAAAGTTTCAAAAACTTATATTTTAGTCATTAACCTTGTTTTGGGGATGTTACAAATCTCTCCATTAAGAAAATTCATCCTCGAATTTTCACTACACAAAGAAATTAGGATACTATCTACATATATTTTCTAATATTCCCATATTGCTTCCTATACTTTAATTTTTCATGTTTATCGTTAATAAACTTGTCTTTTCACTCTTTCAATTTTATACCTATATGGCCATGATTCACAACTATAAACAAATCCACACCATACTTGATTAGTTTAGCTTGACATTTTCTTCCAATCTTTTAATTCGATTTCACTTACCTTCATATAACCTTGATAGTTGTCACTACCTACACAGAACCTTGTTCTAAATTATTTCTTATTAATTAACCATTCTTATCTCCTTATATGTTTTTCAGAATATGCTTCTCGTACCTCAAACGAATTCAACACAACTTATTCACCCTAGAACCACGCTCTAATGGTTTAATAACTATCACATCATTACTTGTTACTTCTAATCAGAATTTTCAATTCTCTATCTAATTTGCTACGAATGTACAAATATGTTGATCTGTGATCTACTAAATCCAAAATTATTTTACCACATAATTGAAAAATACATGCAATGATATCTAGATCATCGTGATCTTTGTCAATCCTTAAATTGTAAACTCGGGCAGTTGAATGCATCTCATGTTGAGTGGATGACTTAGACTGATTTTTCATTGCCCTCTGCCTCTACCTCTCTGAGATACCGTAGCAGATTGCCCAATTAGTGCAGTCT